TAGGTCACCTGAAAAGTTTAGGTTGGACTTATTAATTAATTAATTTTTGTGGCGATTCAGTGCAGTCACTAATTCTGACAGCAGCTGTCAGATTTGGTGAGCCCTATGCCAAAGTCAGTCTGTCCACTTCAGTCATGAAGGCTTTTTTTAGCTGAAAAGGTGAAGGGATGCTAGGTCACCTGAAAAGTGCTGGCCGGACTTCAATTATTTTTTGTGGAGATTCAGTGCAGTCACATATTCTGACAGCAGCTATCAGATTTGGTGAGTCCTATGCCAAGACCAATCTGTCCGCGTCAGTCACGAAGGCTTTTTTTAGCTGAAAAGGTGAAGGGATGCTAGGTCACCTGAAAAGATTTGTTTGGATTTTAACTAATTTTTGTGGAGATTCAGTGCAGTCACTTATTCTGACAGCAGCTATCAGATTTGGTGAGTCCTATGCCAAGACCAATCTGTCCGCGTCAGTCACGAAGGCTTTTTTTAGCTGAAAAGGTGAAGGGATGCTAGGTCACCTGAAAAGATTTGTTTGGATTTTAACTAATTTTTGTGGAGATTCAGTGCAGTCACTTATTCTGACAGCAGCTGTCAGAATTAGTGACTACTATGCCAAGGCCAATCTGTCCACTCCAGTCATGAATGCTTCTCTTGGCTGAAGAAGGTAAAGGGATTGTGAGTCACCTGAAAAAATTTGTTTAGACTTTAACTAATTTTCGTGGAGATTCACACCAATCACATATTCTGAGAGCAGTAGTCAGATTTGGGGACCCATATGCCAAGGCCAATCTTTCCACTCCAGTTATGAAGTTTTTTTGGCTGAAAAGATGAAGGGATGCTAGGTCACCTTAACATTTTTGGTTGGACTTTAACTAATTTTGACTAAACCTGAAAAGATGTGGTTGGACTTTAACTTATTTTTGTCTAGTTTCAGTGCAGATACTTATTCTGACAGCAGCTGTCAGATTCAGTGACCCCTATGCCAAGGCTGTCCACTCCAGTGATGAATATTTTTTTGGCTGAAAAGTTGAAAGGATGATAAGTCACCTGAAAAGTTGTGTTTGGACATTAACCTATTTTTGTGGAGATTCATTGCAGTCACTAATTCTGACAGCAGCTTCCAGAATTGGTGACCACTGTGCCAAGGCCAATCTGTCCACTCCTGTCATGAAGGATTTTTTTGGATGAAAAAGTAAACGGATGCCAGGTCACATGAAAAGATTCGGTTGGACTTTAACTAATTTTCGTGGAGATTCAGTGCAGTCACATATTCTGACAGCAGCTGTCAGATTTAGTGACCACTATGCCAAGACCAATCTGTCCACTCCAGTCATGAAGGCTTTTTTTTGGCTGAAAAGATGAAGGGATGCTAGGTTACCTGACAAGATTTTGTTGGACTTTACATCTTTTTTATCAAGATTCAGTCCAGTCACATATGACACATAGTTAAGGCATCTGTCTGCAGTGAGATGGCATTAACACAGTAAAGGTTGATGAGTCAATTCAGTGATCATTAGAAAGGTGGACCGCCTGTATTTTTCTCATTTGTCTAATATTTAGCAACTTAAATATTTTTATCTACCACCTAATATCACCTTACCTACCAGCCAGACCACCATAGCAACCACTTTCAAAAACCCTAGCAACCTTCTAAAAACACCCTTACACCCATCTAATCAACACTGGCAACCACAAATGATTGCTAACATTGCTACACAGTAATCCCTTGACTTTCTTCAAGAAATGCATCGTTCTAGTTTTTTTTAGTTTTCCATTGCACGTGGCACATCAAATGTCAGATTTACAAGGACATTACATAAAATTACAGTAAATTATGGTATTTTTAAATATATGTTTTTCCTTGAAATAAACATTATTCGACAAACATATACCATACCTTTAACATCTTTTTTTCTTTAGAAATGATGGGATGATTGTGCTGAATAGTGAAAAGTTTTATACTGTAAACGTAGCAACAAATTCTGTAATTTAAACACAGTTACAGCATTACTTCTAAGGTAATTACTTGCTTATAACATTATGGTATTTTCCCAATAATTTTACCAAAAAATTGTATTTTCACAGTTAAATTTTATATTTTCTACACAATTCAGTAAAGTTCATAAAGTTATTTACTGTTTTTTGATTTAGGGTAATTCAATGTATCTATTAGAGTGAAATACTATTTTTGAATTTATAGTCTTTTACTGTTGCTATTTGATAGTTTTTTACCATACTTCCTACAAACATTTTTTACAGTGTACCATGATTAGCACAAAATCCAGGCTGAAATTTTTTCATGTATGTGATTCCTACGTATGTGTGAAAGTCATTGTGCCACAGCTTTTTCTATTGTCTTTGATGTTAAAGGAAGATTTGAGGTCTATAATTTGATAGCTTGCAGAAATCAATATTAGGTTTCTTAATATTTCAGAGATTTAATTACTGCTAATTACTGCTTAAGATTTTTTTGTGTATGGAAGTGGAAGTTTTTGAGGAGGATATAATTTTAACCAGCTCTGTTTGCTGAAGTACAGGATTCCAATCTCTCTGCAGTACTCAAGATTGGCTTTATAGGACAGCAGATTTTTAGTGGTTAATTATGCGTTTTGAAATTTTTATAATTGTTTCACTTTTTTGGAAATTATTGAGGCAATTTATAAAATCATTGCCACTGTAGGATGATGGTATCTGGAGTTCAGTAGTTCAGTTCAGAACCATTGGCCAACTGTGCTTGCACACAGAGGACTTTGACCTCTGCACTTCACCCATCCTTGAAGTGAAACACCCACACACATTAGTGAACACACAACAGGGGGCAGTGAGCACACTTGCCTGGAGTGGTGGGCAGCCCTTTCCACAGCACCCAGGGAGCAGTTGGGGGTTAGGTGCCTTGCTCAAGGGCACTTCAGTAATGTACTGTCAGTTCAGCGGATTAAACTGGCAACCTTCCAGTCACAAGGCTGGTTCCCTAACCTTCAGCACACAACTGCCCCCAGCAGCTGATTGGTTTGTAGTTAATTTAGAGATTGTGCTAGGTAATAATCTAGAATTATTCTTGATAGTTTCAATTAAAACAAATTTCATATGAGATTAGGTAATGATCTGAGACTGCTGTGCTTTAGGGGAGAATGGCTGAATGATCTATGTTTACACCAAAGGTCAAAATTAAGTTATAACATTATGGAAAACTGCATTTTCAATCAAACCCAACAAAAATCATCAGAACAGGCACATCTGCTGCAAAGGTAAAATAGGCTTTTCCCTTTCTGACTATTGAGTTGCAGGCTTCAGTGCTATTAGAGATCATGATGTAATGTATATAGCCTGCATTTGCATACTAGAGGCCTTTTTGTCTACTGTTTTCTGACATTTTGGATGTATTAATTGAAAAAATACCTAGGAATTTTCCATGTTAAAAAAATGTACCCCTGTAGCTGACATCATACGTTCGATAGCTTGTCAGATGTAGCATCAGTAAGTCAGCAGGACTACATGAAATAAGCCCTGCCACCACAACTCTGACTTCAAAATTAATATTTTAAACAAATAAAATATAATCTTTATGGATTGGGTGATAACATATTTTAGTTTAAGTGTCTTGTCAAAGCAGAGCTAACTAATATTTTTAGCTCAGTGAGTGTGCATCTGCATTAGATTGCTGTTTGTTCTTCTAAGAACATGTATTATTATGTAAGAGAGCATGATCATTTTCGCAACATAATTAAAGAATGTGTGACTTTTTCAAAGAATGTGTTATTAATTTAAAGCAGAAATTGTACTCATTTTTTAAAATATCTACATGAACAAATTGATAAGACAAAGTCCCCTAGCGTTGGGGTTATGTGCCCTGTTCTCTACAATGAACAATTTCTGATCCACATCTCAGTGATTGAGTTATGCAGACATTCTGAAAAATAAGTGGAATTCCCCTTTAAGCATTGCACTAAATTACTATATTTTAAAATTGTGCATGAAATATTTATTCCTTTCTTCTTCTTCTTCTTCTTCTTCTTATTATTATTATTATTATTATTAATGATAATAACAATGGTGATATCAATAAGATCAGTGATAATTTACAAAACAATGGCAAATCAATGCCAATGGGGGCAGTTTTGTAAAGGGGGGTGCACCTCGTCTGGGGGCACTTTTCCCCAGAGAACTTACTTCATATTTTCACCTCAAAAGAAAAAAAAACTCTTAAAACCAAATGTATTGCTCTCTTAATTAATGACATACACTCATTAGTCACTTTATTAGGTACATATTGTATCTACATTTGTTGGCTAGTTTGTCAGGTCAATATAACATATTCCATTGCTTTACATTTACACATTGTAGTCTATCAGGACCACCACTGATTAGGTTTGTTTCAAGTGATATATCATTCTCAGCACTGCGGTGACACTGACATGGTAGTAGCATGTTTGTGTGTGTCACACTGGAACAAGTGGATCACAAACAGCAGTGTTGCTTTTTCAACACTTTGGACACTTTATTAGACACACCTACTTTGTTGGATCACCTTGATGATGTAAGGTAAGAGAAGATAGCTTATTTTTGCTGCAGAGCTTGTGTCAACCCCCTTCATCAGCAGTTGGTTTCTGGCCACAGAATGTTGTTGGCTGGATATTTTGTTACTATTCTCAGCCTTGCAGTGACAGTGAATGGGTAAAAATTCCAGCAACGCTCTTGTGTGTGATCCACTCTGTGTAGCACACACACCAACATGTCACTACCACGTCGGTGCCACTGTAGTGTTGAGAAGTGTCCACCACTCAAACAATATCTGCACCTTGGTGGTACTGTGGGAGTCCTGACACTTGTTGACATGACTTTTATTGTGAAATGCGATTGACACGTGGTATGTGCATTCGTTGACAAAGTTGCAAAGAATTAAGCCACAGCGAGCGAGCCACGACGAGCGAGTGCTGTGTCTCAAGCCATATACTTTTTTCAACCTTTTGCTTTCATAAATGAGACAAGAGTAGGCGTGTTTTAACATAACACGTGACCTATTCAAGGATTGCTCTGATGTTTGACGCCATCCCTACGCTTTTGTGAGCTGCTGGAACATATTACAAGCGAGATGCTCATTATCTTTCCTACAGGCGTGCTGCAAAGCGACATGACTGTGCAAGTTTAAATCCAAGAGGCGAACGTACAGAATTTGCCACTAATGAATCCTTATACTTGACAACGTACAGGAAATTAATATTATATTGTCACTTGGTGGACAAACGCGAACAGTTCTCATTTAGGAATTAGTTTTTTTCTTTTTCTATAGCTTGCGTCAAATCTGTGAGAAAAAAAAAAACAAACTTGGCTACAAGAAAGGATGAACACAATACGACAGGTGCCATCACGGGTGAAGAGTAAAAGATCGGAAACGAATCTAGGAGCAGAAAGGGAGCATTTCGATAAACAGCAGGTAAGCTGCATATACATTAAGGACGCTGAATTTTGTTGTTTTACTGCCCAGTGCTTTGGTACAAATTGTGAACGTTTTCTTGACTAAGACAAGACTGAAATTATCGATAATATGTTGCCGCAGACGATCGTAATTGGCAAGGAAATGCTGGCCTACTTCGACCTCACTAAACACTAGGTGCTAGGTGTCTGAAAATGGAAATATGGAATTTAAAATATTATAATAAATGAAAATGGTTTTTGTCGCTAAATCTCGGGCCTACTATGTTCCAGTTTGTGTCAGGGCTAGACTATGTAATGAATAGTATAAGGAATAACAAGTTTACATTTGTTTTTGGCTTATTGAAGAAAAAAACACGATAGGCCAATGCCTGTGAAACCGGTCAGACGTGTTTTTCGTGGCATTTTGCTAAGAGGTCGTGGCACCTATCCTAGGGACTTCCGTCACCTGCTTAGGAATTCACTGGCGTCGTCGATCACATTGAAACAAATGAGTTATCACTTACTATTAAAGACACAAATGATTTTACACTGTATAGGAATTAACAGTTTTGGGTTGTACATTTGTAAGCCACACAACATTCGCTAAATACTACTACTACCACTACTACTACTACCACTAATAATAATAGTAATACCAATAACAACATGAAAATGCACAGTTCTAGTTTTTAGTTGCAGCTTGTTGAAATGAAAGTTGTTTTGGGCGGACCTATTAGTATTTAGAAAAACACACTAACACATTGGCTCAGCTAACTTCTGTCCATGGTAATGTACACATTGGTATTGAACTGGTAAAATGAAACTAGGCCACTTTATTAAGAGTTCTTATTTTATATGCATAGCCCATACGCAGCTGTGTCTCTCTTGACAATGAGTTGTGACCAAACAGTTCTGGCACTGGGGATGTACATTGAAGTAAGCTGACTAACTTTATTAGAGTTGGCCATTCGTGACTTGTTTTTGACTACAGACAACATGTATTCAGTATGCTTTATATTAAATTATGAATACTATATGTGTGTCCATGATACAATTATACAATAACAACAACATAATTATGCATTAGGATTATATATAAATACTTACAATTCTAACATCACTGTCAGAACAAAACCTTTATAGGAGGAGGAACACTGTTTTTGTTTTTTATGTATGTATGTATGTATGTATGTCACAATATATCCCTGCATTTTACTGCATTTAGAACTTTGTGCTCCCTCCTTTTTAAAGTATGGAAGTATGCTTAAGAGCATTTTCCTGCTCCAACAACAACAGGTCCAACAATAACCCAATCTTAGCCTCCTGACAGAGGCAACCAGCCACATCTTGCGGGCAAAAAGCTCTTCCCTAGGCACTTATATTTGTGGTTTGACAACAGCAGAGCATTCTTCTAGCAAGTCCTCTAACTAGTTTAATTGGACAAGGGTGATGACTGTTAATGCAAACAACATACAATCATGTACAAGTGTTAAAAGAGGAGTAAGCACTATTTATGACAAAAATAAATAAATAACACTATGTATAAAAGTGATGTAATTGTCTTAAAGTTTCTTTCATAACATGAACTTACCTAAGACAAAGACTCAAACTACTTCACAGGCCTTATGTAAACATTATGTAACGTTGCTGTATGTTTTTGGTAGCTGTTGTATGTTGGACAGTTTTAACTGGTTATGACCGGTTATGTCAGTTATAGACTACACATAATCAAAAACAAGCATTTCTTATAGTTACCAGTCACTAACCTCTGACTGAGACATCGTTTGAGCAACACTGACAACACAGCTGTGACCGTTGTTCCACTGTCAATTGCCTCTCCACAACACCGGGGGGTAGTATAGAACCTCTGGATCAGCCCAAGCTGATAGGTATCAGTATACAGTTTCAAGAACACTGCCATACTAGTTGTTTCACATGGCAAAGTAGAATGTCACTTACCACTCCTTTAACTTTGGAGAAAGTTTTGCCCCTCAAACCTTCCTCTTTACTGTGTTTGGCAGTAAAATACATTTACATCGTGTTCAAGTTTTCTAGGTTCATTATGGCTCCACTTGTGTTAATTACTTTCCTGAAAATGAAGACTAGTATTTTCAGGAGTTAAGCTACATTTGTAGTCATTGTGTGATTTATGAAACTTAGTTATCTTTTGTATTACTTAATTTGTGTTTCTCTGATTTTTCCTATGTTGATAAATTACTAAGGGAGTTAAACTTGCATATCACTTTAATTTTTATACCCTAGTGAAAAAGTGATGGATGAGTACCTAAGTCTTCCTAAAGAGTCAGGTGTGTTTAGAAAGGCATCATGTGATTGGCGATATACACTGAGTTTCAGTTTACTAGCCTTGTCTCTACACTCACTGACCATTCCATCAGCTGCATTTACCATATAGGCTTTGTAGATATGCCATTACTCACTTAGCCTGTCTGTTGCTACACAATTTGTCACTCTCTGTACCATTAATTTCTGGAAAGATATCAGCATAGATGCATCCTTTACCATTTATCATTTGAGGATGGGGACGTTTTTCAGCATAACATTTAACACAAACAAAATAGTGATATTTTTGTAGTTGTTGCTCTTGTGTGAATGTACTCATACACAGCAGCAGTGCCGAGATTTTTAAACACCTCATTGTCACTGCTAGGTTGAGAATGGTTCACCAAAAAAAAAAGTCAACAGTGGTCTTGTATTTAGAAACAGACCAGCCATAAAGGGCTAGAAAATAAACTAGCACATCTTTTACGTAAAAAAAAAGACCTATAGTTTTAGAGCTATATACATTTATTTATGTGGATATACAGGTTAGTGATAATAGTGATAACAGCTCTTGTGTTTAAAGCACGTTTATAGATAATATATATTTATTTTTGAGTAAATAAGATTGTATTGTTGGCATACAATGATGTCCACAGCAAAACATCATAATGGCCAATTACATTAATGGGGGGTGAGATAGTGTCACTCTTTCAAAGATAGTAAAATACTCAACATTCCATAAAATACTTGCTAAGTTCTCCTTGTTAATACAGTTTAGGTGTCCTTGTAAGTAGTAATAATTTATATAGTTTTCTATGTTATAGCAAAGAAACTGGATTTATAGCAGGCAGGGCATGTGAGTGGTATGGAGTGATAGCAGAGCGACTTGATTTTTTTTTGTCTTGGAGCAGATTTTCAGTATAAAAATAAAGTATATGTCCTGTCCACACATTTGAGACATAAAATAAATATCATAAAAATGGATCATATTGAGCGGACATGGAGCAGGGTTTCTCAGACGCGTGAGTAAGGAGCAAGCGGCGAGCGGGAAATACAAAATCTGAGGCGGTCTGGAGCAGTGTGATTACAAAAACACTGAGCAAGGAGCAGAAATATCTGCTGCTCCACTCCATTCACATGCTCTGATAGTAGGCAGGGTGCGCCCCACTCTCAGTGTGGATGAGCCAGGGGAGGCCACGAATTCACCACAAGAAGTTCCTTTATTACACACCAGAGCAGGAAGGCAAAACCAAAGCACTGAACTGGCAGGGGAGGTCACCGCTAGCCATCGGCTAAACAAAACAAAACGTGTACCTGGGACCTGCCTCCACCACTAGTGAGCTGGACGATGGTCACCTTGCAGCCATTTGATGTGCGTGAGCATGCGTGATCACAGCTGTTGCATGCATTTACCTGCTGGCCCAGGCTTGCAGTGCCGACGCTGGCTCACCAACTGCTCCAACTGCTTGCTGCCGCGCTTCCATGCCGAAGCCTTCACCAGTTTTGCTTTTGTTAACTCCCTCTCTCCGGCTGCACCCTGCCATGCTGCCTCTGGCCTCGCCATGCCACCTCCGGCCTCAAGTCTTATCGTGCCGGCTTTGTTGTTGAACCTTCCCATGCCAGCCCCATTGTCGGGCCTTTTCATGCCGGCTCTGCCACAGAGCCTTGCCTTGGCCTCACACATGAACAACCTATACTCTAGTCACAGAACGGCACAATTGAATACATACACAAGCCTTGACTAACAGCCAACAACATAACATTAAACAACACGTTTACAGTCCTTTTTTTTAGGAGGGCACATGGCCATGCCTCCCAAGCCCCATGGAGGCAGTGTCAGCCAGTAGTACAGTATGATATGCTACAATTGATATCATAAACAACAAGATTCTCAAATATTATGTTAGTATTATATTTTGTTCTCCCTGATCCTAAAAATTAGTCACCTTGAGTAATTTATTATCAGATACTATGTCATTTGATTTGAGTAAAATTAAATCTAAACATAATGTAACTGGAATACAGGGTTAATTAAAGGGGCATTCTGTCATTAAACGGGCAATTAATGTGCTTATCATGTTATGTAGTATTCTAACTCAGGATTACATCCCTTTAACCTCATCAGTCTGACAGAATTTATGATTTTGTGTTATTTTGTAAGTTTCTATTAGTTTTTCTTCAGTGTTCTCTCACTACAGTACCCAGCCTGCAAATATGCCATACAACCAATACCAACAGCACTTGAGAAATCCCTGCTACTAGCCTCGGTACTGATGCTCTTTTAATGCTCTCCATTTAAAATTATGAAGACAAAGTTAATTAAGTTCCATAATGATGCTGCGCTCATGACAACGAGGAACTCCAAATTTTTCAACTTGGAGCTTCCTACTTCCCACTTCAAAACATTTGCGCTGCCTCAACTGTTTAAAGTCTGGAAAAAAATGTCGATTTGCAAATGTTACTCAGAAAAATACTATGTTCAATGATTTTATCCGAAAAGTTTGTGTCAATTGTGAAAATATAATGCAAATCAATGTTCAACATGGTCTTTTTTTTCAAAACGCCTAAAAAATAAAGCAAACCTTTTTATTTAACCCAGTAGGACTGGCCATAGTTGTGGGCACTCTTGACTTTTAGGTGTTTGTTGCAACCCCAGTGCTATCCCCAGGCATGACCATGGTCCTTCTTAGAAGAATAAAAAGCTGTTTGATTTTTCGCTGGTCTGTGATATCATTTGAA